GCCTGTAGCTCAGTGGTTAGAGCATCCGACTAGATCACAAATTGTTTAGAGTTCGGAATAGACTTTTCAGCGATGATTATCGATATCCACAATTGTTTTAAACGTTTTGTGGCAAAATAAAAGCAAAGGAAAATATTGATAATAATAACAGAAGGTTCTCGACTTGTTCCGATATTTTACTATCTGGAACTAAGCTAGCCTACATGTTGCCGAACCCTCCCCCCCCTCCAGGAGAAATGGAAGGGAGGGAACTACCCTTCCGTTTTTCTAGGGGGGGTGAGGGTACGGCTACACGTAAGCTAAAACTAAGCAAGTAACTAATAGTTTCAAAGATACCGTATTTTCTTGAACAGAAGCCGCGGCTTCTATATTTTTTTAAAAGGAAAATAGTGCGGCTTCTAATCAAAGGCGGCTTTTATCTTTTGAAAGCCATAGTTTTCATGTGTGAAGTGGTCAATTGTGTCTATCGTGACGTCTGTCCGAAATCTTTCGATACATGTGAGATAACTACAAGTGATCCTGACAAAATTCATTGTCTTGGAGAGGGCCAACCAACTGACGAAACTAAAGTGCTGTTGGGAGAGTCACATACACCTTTACCATAATGGCGGCGGCCGAGTGAAGACTAAAACTAGTGCATAGGGACGAGGCCACCCGGGCATGGATTTGTGCACTTGTGAGCGCTTGTCAAAAAGTTTCTGGCACAATTTGTTAATTTATTAATCCTAAAAGCTTTATTTTTCAAAGAATCGACAACTAGTATAGCTAAGGCTCAAGTTAATATGTACAATACCATGCCACTGCTGTGTTCCTTCATGGTCTACTAGGGGATATCGCGACGTAAACGGTTAACAAATATGCTACTTCAAGTTTTCCAAAGAAAAACTTGCGAGAAAGCAATGGCTTCATGCAATCCGACGAGAGGAAGGCCGAAGCTTCAAAGTATTGGACTCGACCATGGTCTGCTCGCACCATTTTAAAATGGAAGACTTGAAGAAAAGTATTGCGGGTAAAATATGC